CATCAATATTACATAGTTACATCCCGAGCTAATAAAAGGAAGGTAAAAACAAAAAAAAAATTCGCAATCGTTCCAACCGAGGATCGAACCTGGCAGCTACAGGCTTGTAGCCCGTAACTCTTACCACTCGGCTACCGCGTGGTAAGTCACTCTTGCGCTTTGTTTGCTTACTTGTACAAAAGACAACAGCTGGCCTTTTACCAGTGTTGTCAGCGAAAACTGCCCTGATCCGAGTTGATTCCCAAAAATTTCGTGCATTTGTTCAGCTGCTTATGCGCATTTTAAAGAGGAAAATGCATGAGTCAAAGCAAATAAAGGCTGTTTATGCAAATAATCGAGCCCGTTTGTCAACCGTATAAGGCAGCCGATATAAATAAAGTAAATAAACCTCTTATATCTTTATTTTTTACCTGCGCCAAACAAATTTGGTATCGGTAGTTTTGGTTATTTTATAGCTAACTGCGCGTTTCAAAATTGTTCCATTGGAAAAGTATGCATGTATTAGTGAAAAAGTGTGCATGTGTTGCTATTCCTGTCCCCGTAGCGAATCTGGGGTACCTCAATTTTAATTTTGGATTCTAATGGTATGATTATGGCAACTTAACGTAACTTACGGCCTTCTCTTAAAAATTCTGTTAAATGGGTGCTGCTTATAATTGAACAGCCGAAACCCAACGTAACTTAATGCCACGTTGAAATCTGTTCCATTTTGATTCTCTAAGTTCTACGTTCCATTAAGTTAAGTTGCCATAATCAAGCTTTAATGGCTGGTTTCTCCTGACTGAATTTTTTTTTTGAAAGACTAATATAAAATAAGAGCACAAACGCGAATTCATATAAGGTAGATATGAAGTCGCTTGCAGAGCACTGTAACAACATGGCAACGAATTTGATCATTTCGCTTCTTTGTTTGATAATTCGTAGTTACCCGTTTATTCATCTGCAGCAGCTGCTCCGCCTGCAATTGCTGCTCACTTTGCGTTGATTGATCGCCCTGCTCTAATTGATCCTCTGGTATGTTTCCTTCGCCGTTACCATTAAGAGTCGTATCATGCCAGCGAATCATAGAATGCCGAAGTTTCATGTGGCGGCTTAAATTTCCTAGGGACCCGCCATTGAAACTTATTTTCTTTGAACAATGTTTGCACATAGCACGTTTCGAGCCAGCATTTTTGAAATGACTCCATATCAGACTTCTCTTTGCAGGCATCTGAAAATACACCAAACACTAATTCCAACCTATTAAAAAAGAAAAAAAAAATACTTACTTTAACTCCAGACAAACCAGCGCTTAGTTTTTATGGCAATCGAAAAAGAAATAGCGCATAATTATTGTTCAATCAGTACCATAACTACATATTTTGTACATAAAGAAGGTTTGTATTGGAATATTTGTAACACAATTCATATATGGGACAGTTTTCACAATTCGGATATTGATTAGATTTAAAGCAAATTTTATTTAGTCAATTTAAAAAATGTAGTTCATCTAGAATTCTATATATGTACACATATAATTCACACGCACTTGAATGAACTAGTTTAAAGAACTAAATCAAACTAAATTTTTCATGAACCACAAAACTAGGGGTGCAAAACTCTCGATGGTACTATCGATAGTAACGATAGTTTTAATTTTTCATCACTATCTAAAGAGCGAAATACACCACACAAGCGGTTTGACAAACCAAGCGAAATTTCCCTTTGCTTCAAGCCATTTGTGCTGTGTATGGGGGTGTTTGAAGGTTTGACANCGCTTGCGTTGTGTATAGCAAAATCGCCTCATTCGCAACGAAATTTTCACCGAGTAAGGACGTAAGAGAGGAAAATGAAAGAAAACCATAATATTTAGCATTGCGAACTGGAAGAAAACTAAAATTCTTTGCTTGAACGAGTCATGTTTGCATGGTGTATGGCGAAATGGGAAAAGTAGGTTTGAAGAATGTTTGACAAGCCGCTTGTGTGGTGTATTTCGCTCTTAAGGCTTTAGTTTGTGGTTCCACTACGGGCCGTCTTCGCGTGATTGAAAATCTCGCTTGAGTTCTGCTCACAGTATATACAGTAATAAACCTTATAGCAGTTTTTCAACAATTGCAACACTATTGTGGGGAATTTTGCCTCATGATAAGAAAACGGTCTTTTCGAGGATAAAATATATATACAAAATGTAGGTTAAGTATAGTATCAATTCTTAATTAGGCATAATATCAATAGTTAAGTACATAGTTAACGTTTGTGTTCCTATAAACTGGAAACTCACATCGTATTTTTTGAATGAAAAACGTGAATTTCGTGAATTTATCAAGGACAACTCTAAATTTCCGAATATATTTAAGTCTTTATTCCAAAATACAAATCAACATGTTTTAAGTGAAATTTTAATATTATTCTCACGTAAGGCCCGACCGCCTCTTTCTCATGGGCTGCAATATATGTCAGCGTTTACTGCTTGACATCTATTGCAGGCAATTCGATAGTTTGACAGCCATATTTTCATTTGAAAGAAATCGTGCTGGTGGTAACATCGATGAAATTTTGATATTGAACCAAAATAAAAATTTGTTCCCTATTGGATTATTTATGATTACGTTTTGGGAAATTATTCAGCAAGTTTTTTAGAGATTTAAATGTTTTCAAACACCGAAATTGAGAGAATGTTGTCTGGTGGCATCATGCGGTAAATGCTTATTTCAAGACATCAAAGTGCCCACACACAAAAACTTGCAATCATATTGTTCGTCAAAATGACAGTAGGTAGGACATCGGTGTTTGCCTGTGGAGGTCTGCAGTAATGTATGTATTCGTGAAAACTATCGATAGTGCTTACGGTCGGTGTTATGCAGGCAAACTTTTGTTTGCCAAATTAAATGGCGGCTGCTTAGTTTGCTCGGAGGTGGTTATGTCGAGTTTGGCACAGGGTTGCACGTTCATTATGGTTTTCATGGATATTGCCAACACGAAATGAGGATTTCAGAGGTACATAACGCGCACAATTTAAAATTTTTGTATATGACAATACCGAATTTGCTGCAGTTTGACCAAACAAAATTAGTTTGCTGTGAGAGTCGCCAAACTCGCTCTCTCCGAGTTTGGTGCAACAACAATTGCACGCAGTTTGCCAAACAAAATTTCTGCATAACACCAACCTACAAAACCATCGATGTTTTCGATAGTCAAAAACCATCGATACTATCGATAGTGACATCGATAGTTTTCCAGCTCTACCCTTGTATAAATTCGCCTTGCCTTGTACGAATAGTTAACTCAACAATGGAAAGTATTTTATTGTCAAATATTGCCGCTATTATAGTCAAAGATGTTTTAATAGACGACAACAAAACTAAGAACGAGCCGCCTAAATTCATAACTAAAGAGTTCCCGCTGCTCTCTGCCGATACTGATGATGAAGCGCTGCATTTCTTTCTGAAGCAAAACCGTGCGAAGAAACGTCGAAAGTCTGATGACATCCAGAATAATACCGAAAAGCCAGTCAGTTCCAATTTGAATAGGGTATCTGTTGAAGGAGACGCCCGAAGCACAATCACTCCGTATGAATTCAGTAAGCACCAAGCGCCACTCGAAATCAATTTAATAAACAAGTTTAATACCATCCTCTTCGAGGGATACCTGCACATGAGCAAAATAACGTTCTTGGTAAGAATATTTCATTCAATGAATGCAATGTTAACGTAATACTAGTGTTTTTATTAATCTAGCGCATTTTCAAAAGATTGCGTAGATTTTTACCCAATGAGCATATTCCCACTGCCGCACCGCCGCAGTCAATTTTTTCCCTTGCTCTATGGAAATTGTCTACCGACGAGCACTTTGAAGATATCGCGCGGAAATTCAACACTACCAAACATATCTGCCAACAACTTATACGCCTCTTTTGGCGTCGCATTTCTGCACAATATGAATTGCTAATACAGTGGCCTAGCACGCCAGAGAAACGCAATTACAATATTCAAAACTTCCAAACACTTCATCAGTTGAAAAAATTCGGGCAACTTTTCGGCATTGTAGCCAGCAAAAAATTGGACGTTTTCCTCGAAGCCGAAAATGAGGAGCGACAAGTAGTATTGCAAATCATTTGTGACGCCGATCAAAAGATTACCGATTCCTTTTTGGTACTTGCTGACGAGTATTCATTCGACGCCTCACCCATAGGTCAAACATTGGCATTAAATGTACAAACAATGCCAACAGGCAGTTACCTCATAGGTAATAATAGTTTTCCTCTTAAACCCTATCTAATGCGTCCAATAGGTGAGCCCAGCGATGATGAGGAGCGAAATTTCAATTCAGCATTACAACCGGCTTTACATATTGGCGAACAAGTACTAGATGCAATGGCGAAACGTTTTAATGTTTTATATGCGTTAGAAGCGCGTAATATTCATGAAGTACGAAAAATAGTGGACACGGTTTGTGCATTACATAATCTTTGCGTTGAAATGGAGGATGACTATAGCGAGCGCAAACTGAAGGATATGCAGTTTAATTGGGCCAAAGTGATAGACGAAGGCTCAAAAAAACTAGGAGATGAACAAGACGAACAGGGCAAACAAAAGCGTAGAGCTCTAATGGCGCAGGTGTTAAATTAAATATCTTGGGTACATTTCAAATTTAAACGGATTAGCATTAGGATCTCAAGTACACACCAAAAAGTAATTTTAAATTTATTTATTATACCTTTTATTCCTTCTAATTATTTAAGAAACAATTCTAGTGTGTATTTGATAATTCTCTGTTGTCGGCATTTGCTGGTAAACTAATTTCTTTTTCATTTGCAGTAAAAGTTTGATTACATGTTTAGAGCTACAAATATGATTACTTTAAATTAGAATTCATTTATATGTGTAGATTTATTAATACAGTAAATGTATGTATGTATAATATATTTTCATATTACTTTTAGTTGTGGTTTTTATATCAGAATTATTTGTCCGTTCGGCTGCACAAAAGAGT